GGGACTGCTGGGGAGGCAGACTGGGGTCAGTTCTGAGGGAGGGCCTGACCCGGGCCTGCAAGCAGGCTCAATGCTGTGGCCTTGCAGGCAGGAGGACAAGTCACTCTTATGAACCTTGCAGCACCCCCTAGCAACATGAGGAGAGAATCCCCATTTTCACCCTGTGCAGAGCACCCCGTTCCCAGGTCATGGCTGGCTTCCCCCGTCCAGCCCCAGCCTTGGAAGCCCATTATGTATGGACTTTGTAGCATTTCTGTGCCCCCTGGCCAGGTCCCAGAGTTGGAAGACCATTATGTGTCACCAGTGCTTGTGTCTCCACATGTGTGTGTCTAAGTGTGTTTTTCAAGTGTGAACCAAAATCAAGGAAGGCCCTACAGCTCTCAAGCCTTATTTGAGTGATAACTGGAAATTTCACAAGATATTTTCCAAAGCACATCTCACTTCATGGGTCAACAGGGACAGGGTCCTGGGCACTGGGGCTCTTCCCTGGCTCTGCGACCACGGCTGCTGACTCTGCCATGACCTTAGACAACCTTCACTGGGTCAGACAGCCCCTGGGTCCTCCTGAAGCTCCCTGGGCCTCAAGGCTCCTGTGGCCCCCAGGGAAGGCGGTTCCCCTTTCCAAGGCCCCGTGCACTGCAGGACACTCATTGTTTCCTAAGAGCGTCCGTTCGGCCTTTAAGTGGACACTGGAAACAGATGTACAGATTAAGGACGAGGCTCAGGATCCCCTAAGAATTCATGGGACTCTTAAGTTGATCCTTCCCCAGTCGAACCCACGGGCCCCTGTGCCACCTGGCCTAGGCTGTCACCTCCCTCCTATGCTTCAGGAGCCTGAGAGACATGTTTCATGGCACTGTGGCCAAGAAGTGGTCACACTGCAAAGGCTGTGCACCCCCTAGGCAGAGCAGGTGCACAGAGCTAGGGATCTGGCCAATGGACTTAGTCCCTGTCTGTTTGCTTCCCCGATAACCAGGGTGACCTTGGCTAATGTCCACTACAGCCTCCCCCATCGCCTATCTGTGTCCACTGCTTAAATACAGACAAGGACAGGACTCTGCCTCCTCAGCCCCCGTCACCACACCGGTCCTGGGACAGTGAGTGGTGAGTATGCCTTTCCCTGGGGACAGCCTCTGGGAGCCTCTGGGTCCTGGGAAGGGACAGGCAGGACCATAGGCAGGGTGGACAGGGCAGGCTGCAGCTGGGCCTCCTCTCATCTTAGCCACAGTAGCCACAGAGGTCCCCTCCTTCTCCCCCAGCCACCCCAGAGCCTGGCAGTACCTCTGATGCGTGACTAGCCCTCCTGAGCAGTGGCAGAGGGCATCTAGCTCATAGTCCTGGGGAGCTGATGTGTGGACACAACAGCCGCGGGGATAGTGACTCTGGTGGCCTGGTCTTTCCTGCCACTGTCTCTCAGCAGCACCTGCAGCCCCTTTGCCTGGGTGAGGACCTTCCTCCCCTTCTGCAGATGGGGACAGAAGGCCACAGAGGGAAGTCAGGAGCCGGCTGGCACCTTCCATCCCCTCCAGATGCGCCCAGGGACAGAACCGGGACAACCCTCCCACGGGCCATGGTTCTGAGCCCACCTTGTGCACCCAGGGGAATGGGAGCCTTTGGAAGGCCACCTTCACGTGGTTAGAGCTGACCTTCCCCAGTGACCACTCTGAGCCAGCGGCCGCTGAGCTCAGTGCACATGAGAACACATTTCAGCCTCACAGCCCCTCTGAGGTGGTTCTGTGGTCATTCCCATTTACAGATGAGGAAACTGGGAACCCAGAGGTGGAAAACTTGCTCCAAATCACTCAGTGCCCAGTACTCAAACTCGGGCACTGGGCTCCAGAGCCCATGCTGCTGACCTGGGCCTACTGTTTAATGCTTCTCTCGGGGCTCGGACCCTAGTTGGAGAATAGGAAGCCTGGTCTGGCCTGGAGGCCTCTCAGCTGCTCTGTGACCTTGGATTGCAGCTCAGCCTCTGGACCATTGAGCAAGGCCTAGAAAATTCTTGGTTTTCTTCTCTTACCTCATCTTCACTAGCCTGGGTTTCTGGAGTGTTGGTGACAATGATGTGACAATGATTGTGACCCTGGGCTGATGTCTGCTCTGGCATAGAGTGAGAAGTAGGCAGGCAGACACGTGGGGACAGGTGGAAATGGCCCCTCAGAAGCAGGTCACTGCTGAGCAGAGCCCCTGTCTGGCCTGGGGCAAGTAGCCACCAGCAGGCATCCTGCAGGTGTGGGCGCTTCCCCAGGGCCAGTGCCACCTGGTGGTCACCTTGTTTGTGATTCACTTCTTCCTTCACAGGTTCTCCTCTCTACTGTAAGGACAGGAAGTGACACTCAAAGAGGGGAAGTCATTTACCAAGGCCACTGTCACCAGGGGGCAGGGCTGGCTCATGCTGGGCTTTGGTGCTTTCCATGGGTTGTGACCTCAGGTCAGGGCTCCTTCCTGGACCCCGCCTCGTTGCTCTGGGTCAACAACGAGGAGCAGAAATGGTGTGGGATGAGCTGGGTTGGGGGTCCTCCCTCTCCCTGCCTCACACTGACTGCTCCCACCCACACCCCCTTCGAGAACCATCAGGGTGCCACCTCCAGTCCTTTCCTGAAGGCTTGGCCTCCGTGTCTGTACCTGAGGGCTCCAGTCCACCCTCTGCAGCTGGCCTGCCCAGCTCAAGGCTTTGGGGCTGCAGGGTGCTGCTTGCAGTAGCAGCCCAGGGGGAGCAGGTCTTGGGCCCCCGAGGCTTTCAGGAACAGGCCAGGAAATAGAGGGAACCCAGCAGGAAGCTTGGGGTCACTGTCAGGGCCCCCATGAAGCCTGGAACCCTCGGGCAGGACTGTCTCAGTCCCTGGTCCCAGAGGAGGAAAACCAAGGCTTGTTCCACCTTTGCCTCAGCTTCTCTGTGCAGCCTTGGCCAGGCCCTGACCCTCTCTGGGCCTCAGACCCTCACTCTAAAGGGAAGAAATCAGAGGAGGTTAGGTGACATGGGAGGTGGATGGAGGTGCTCACCTGGGCTGGAAACCTTCCCCCACGTCCCCCCTGCACCCTCTCACCTCCTGACAGACACCCCTGTAATTTAGAGCCCAAGGTTTGTGCATAGAGGACGTCATTCATTTGAGTCTCTCCCAACTCCCCTTCATCCAACATGAGAGTCGTGTCCCGGTCAGTGCTTGCTCAGACTCTTACTCAAGGCCAAGGGTACAGCAGTGGCCCTGCTCAGGCCTGATGCCTCAATCTCTGGCCCTGAGGCCACTCACCACATGTCCCTACCCTGCTGAGACCCACCCCTCTCCTGACCTCAGGCTCTGAAAGATGGTGACTTCCACCACCATGAAGGCTCAGCCAAGCCCAGCCGGGCAGCACAGGGATAGCCAGGGACACGTACAACCCCTTTTAGCACCATCTTTAGTGCTGACACACAGCTAGTTAAAGAAAAAGACAAAGGTGTGTTCCACAGCGTGTGGCTGGCTCTCTCTGGATTATTTAGACATGAAGGCCAGGAAAAGAGGTGGTGGAAAAACAGCTTTCACTTCCCTTTGATGTCTGGGTGGAAAGAAGCATTATCAAAGGTCACGGCAACGAGTGAAGCTCAGGGTTTCTCATTCCCAACTCCTTCTCCGTAGGTTTTCCTGGCTCAAAGTCAGGGGTACAGGTCTCTCCACCCTATTAGTTAAGGGCTGCTCATGGCATCTCTGCAGCTCAGCCCTCGGGTTCCCCGACTGTATGGAGAGCAGGTTGAACTGAGGGGCTGCAGGAGGGCAGTTCTCCCCACAGAACTGGTGGTTCGTCTCCTGGGCACAGCTGGAGCCTAGGGTGCTCTGGGGTCAGGGCTCCATGGCTGTCCACGTGTGGCTGAGGGTGACACTGCCCTCCACCACCTCTAGGCAGAGCCTCCTCCCCCTGGTCCAGCCACAGGCCCTGCCCCTTGCTACTGCCTCATCCTCAGCCATGAATCACAGACCCTCACAGCCTGTCACCCAAAGGCTTTGAGGTGGAAACACCTGCCAGGCCCTCCCTCAAGGGGACATTCCCTCGGAGCCCTTCAGTGCACTTTTGGGGTTGAGACTTCTTGAATTGTCCCAAGAACCCCCACTTTATATGTGGGGCAACACAAGGAGCAGAGAGTTCAAATAACCTGTCCTGGCTCACACAGCTGGGGAGGGACAGGGCCCTCTAGCTCCCCCAGTGTCAGCAGGTGAACCACACAGGATGCCCGCCCACCTTGGGGCTGAGGTCACAGAGCAGCCTAGGCATGCCCCTCTTCACTCAGGGCTGAGGCTCTGTCAGGGTCAGGTGGGGACAGCCCCTGGGGGCTCTAGCACAGCTCCACCATGTCCTCAAGGGGTCCAAGTGCAAGGTGCTTCCTCTGCAGGCAGCATGTTCCCCACAAGACGTGGCCTCAAGGTCACTGCAGCTGCCAAGTGGATGGGACAAGGGGGTGGGCTCAGGACCACCCTGGCCAGTGCCTAAGCTACTCCCCTACAACACTTGCTGGCCAACCATGTACGTGCACCTGAACCCCTCTAGGCTTTGGAGGAGAGCAGTTGTCCCCACAGGACTGTGAAGGAAGCAGAGAATTCACACCCTTTAGGGCTCAGGGCAGCTCTGCGTCTCCCTGGGGGTTTGCAGTGATGCAGGTGGAGGAAGGGCTTGGCACAGGCTGGGCCGTCTTGGAGCTCACTACATCCTGGTGGCTCTGCATGGTGTCCGTCCAAGCCAGAGAGAATCACTGTGGGCTGAACTCAGGCCTCTGACCTCCTCTGCCTTGCAGGACAATGCCGTCCTCTATCTCGTGGGGCCTCCTGCTGCTGGCCGGCCTCAGCTGCCTGGCTGCTGGCTCCCTGGCTGAAGATGCTCAGGAGACAGATGCATCCAAGCCCGACCAGGAGCACCCAGCCTGCCACAAGATTGCTCCGAATCTGGCGGAGTTTGCCTTCAGCCTTTACCGGGTGCTGGCCCATGAGTCCAACACCACCAACATCTTCTTCTCCCCTGTGAGCATCGCCACGGCCTTGGCCTCGCTCTCGCTGGGCACCAAGGCTGACACTCACACCCAGATCCTGGAGGGTCTGGGCTTCAACAACACGGATATCCCGGAGGCTGAAATCCACCAGGGCTTCCAGCATCTTCTCCAAACCCTCAACAGGCCCAACAGCCAGCTCCAGCTGACCACCGGCAGCGGCCTCTTCATTGACCACAATCTGAAGCTGCTGGACAAGTTCTTGGAGGATGTCAAGAACCTGTACCACTCAGAGGCCTTCTCCACCAACTTCACAAACACCGAAGAGGCCAAGAAGCAGATCAACACTTATGTGGAGAAAGGGACCCAAGGGAAAATTGTGGATTTGGTGAAAGATCTGGACAGAGACTCAGTTCTCGCCCTGGTGAACTACATTTTCTTTAAAGGTAAGATGAGTCAATCAGCCTGAGTGGGTTCCAATGGAAACCCCAAAGTTGTTTTCCATCCACCAGTTCTGGAACTTTCCTTGGCAGTACTGTCTGCACTGTGGCAGGGCCTCTCAGAGTGGCTCCTCAATCTTCCATGTCTAAGCCCTGAAATGTCTTCCACCATCAGTTAAGTTAGGGAAGAGTTGATAAAACTGTCAAAAGCATTGACTTTTCTGCAGGACGCATCAGAGTCCTGACTGTCCTCCTGCTCACTGGGGACCCCAGCAGGGAGGGGCACCTGTAATGTTTCCTAACTAGAGAGCCACTGATGCACATTGTGGCAGGTGGTGGGAGGGAGTGGCCTTTCATGGAAAGTCCTTGGAACAACTCTTGTTGTGGAGTGTGGCAGCTGGGGGTGTGCAGGACCTGGGTCCACATCCTGCCTCCCTCACTCAATGGCCTTGTCATTTTATGAGCCATTTCAGCTCTTTGGGATGTGACTGTCCTATCTTGTCTTGGACAATGTTGTGAGGTCTGAAAGGACTACCCAAGTCACACATGGGATTGTGGGGATCTGTCACAGCTGAGTAGCTGGCAGGGACCCTCAGCCTGCCCACCTGCCAGGGCTCCACAGGACCCAGGACCTAAGGCAGCTTCCACTGCCCCAGGGCAATGGCCTAGGGTGTCCTGAGAAGTCAAGGTGTTTTACTGAGCTTTTCACCACTGTCACTTAAAGACCCAACCAGAACAGTTTTAGAGGAGGAAACGTTTATTTGTGCTTCACAGTTGCAGAGGTCTCAGTCTATATATGTCTAGCTCCATACCTTGGGGCTCGGTGAGGCAGAACATCATGGCAGAGGAGTGTGGGGGAGGGTAGCAGCTCACATGGTGATCAGGAAGCAGAGAGAGACTCCACTCTGCAGAGACAACATATATACCCCATAACCACGCCCCCAACGACCCCCAAATACACACCTCCTCCAGCCTCAGCCCACCTGCCTCCTGTTACCATCAGGGATTAATTCACTGATTAGGTTAAGGCTATGGCCCAGTCATTTCTCCTCCTAAGCACCCTGCATTGTCTCACAAGTGAGCTTTTGGGGGACACCACATCCAAACAAGAGCACAAGGCCAGGGTGACTTCCTCTGAACCCTGGCTTTCTTGTTCCTGGGCAGAGTCTTACCGTACAGAGCCCCAGGCCACCATCAACACGACTGAGGGGCCAGCTCTGCTGCACCTAGGGCAGGTCTCATTCCTCCAAACTCCATTGAGACATGTGGGCTCAGGGTTCCCTGCACTACCCTCCCAATTTGGTGGCCTAGAGGGTGAGGAGCTCTTGCCTAGAAGAGTCAGGCTGCCTGGACATCTGTGCTTCTCATGTGAGTCCAGGACAAGGATTTAGGGTGCACTGAATGTTTGACCTGAGTGACAACTGAACTGTCAATCAATAAGGATCCTGAGGTCCAGGAGAAGAGGTCCCACTGTAGGACTGGGACCAGAGCTTTTCACTTAATCCCAAACTGCCCTTCAATAAAAAATGTAATTGTAACAGAAATGCTCACTGGGCACAGTCAGGAGGCGTCTCCATGGCAGCCTGCAGGATCTAGAAATCCCAGCTGATCCTCTAGTCCTGAACGCCTGTCTCTCTATCCCCAGCCTGAAGGGGTTGGAGGCCCTGCTGCCCAGGATGCAGCAGAGGTGGGTGAGGAGCTTCCCCCCAGGCAGGCTGAGGGCGCCTCTGCTCTCTTCTCACACCTAAGCCTCCATCCCACCCGCTGCCGTCCACCTTCCCTCTGTCCAGGCAAATGGAAGAAACCCTTCGAGGTAGATCACACCAAGGAAGAAGACTTCCACGTGGACCAGGCCACCACCGTGAGGGTGCCCATGATGAATCGCCTGGGCATGTTCGACCTGCACTACTGCTCCACTCTGGCCAGCTGGGTGCTGCAGATGGACTACCTGGGCAACGCCACCGCCATCTTCCTCCTGCCCGACGAGGGGAAACTGCAGCACCTGGAGGACACCATCAC